GTGGACTCCGGCAAATGCAGAAGGAATTTGAGATTGCGGGTGTTTGTGTCGTGTGTGTTCGTAGTGAGAAGCGTACTGTTTTGGCAAGTGAAGGTTATAGGCCGTCACGTTCAGTGGAAGTTGGTTCTGGGAAGAGGCAGAGAATTAGTGATGTAGATGTTGTTGAGAGTTCTTTTTCGGATGTAGGTTGTCTTGTAGATACCGAACGGGTGCAGAGTAGTACTACTGGTTATCGTTCCAAATATTGGCATAAGAAACGGAATTATCAGCGGAAGATGAGATATGCGGAAAATGTGTTGTTTAGGGAAGAAACCAAAGAAAAGAGCAAAAGGATTTATAGGGACAATTTGAAACATCGGGAGAAAGTTAAGAAAAGGAGCATGCGACGGATTGTGAGAGTATATAGGGAAAATGTGGTTTTTAGGGAGGAATGTAAGACAACAAGTATCAGGAATTATGAAGTTAATGTGCTGCATAGACAGCAAGTAAAAGAAATGAGTAAAAAGAAGTATGCAATGGATAAGCTGCACAGGCAGAATGTAAAAGCCATGAGTATTAGAAAGTATCATGGTAATGTAGTGCACAGGCGGCATGTAAAATCTAGGATTATTAGGAAGTATCATGAAAATCCACAGTATAAGGAGCGTGTCATAGCCAGTAACAGACTACGGAAACAGGAAATTAAGGAGAAATCCAAGCAGTTCGACGTTGTAATGCATCATTTTTTAGAGAAGGTTAAAGATGGGCCAGATTTTGTGTGTTGTGTTTGTTGTCGATTGTTGTTTAGACATCAAGTGTTGCCGTGCAGAAGGGAGTGCTACACTAATCGAAAAGACATAGCTGCTGCAGTTGCAGATGTCTGCATTAGTGAAGCATACCTGCACCATTGTAATGAGGGTTGCATTGTGCCTTGTCAATTGCTGGATAGTGCTAGAGGTCAACTTTGGATCTGTTTTAGCTGCAATGACAAGGTCAGTAGAGGTCAAATGCCAGCCGAGTGTGCAGTCAACAAATTGGTACTTGATCCTGTTCCAGCAGAATTGGCCTGTTTGAATAGCTTGGAACAACATTTGATAGCCTTAAATATTCCATTTATGAAAATATTGGCGTTGCCTAAAGGTGGGCAAAATGGAGTGCATGGACCAGTGACATGTGTTCCAGCAAATATTGTGCAGACAAATAATTTGCTGCCACGGTCAAACATGGAAGGCTCATTGGTGCCTGTCAAATTGAAGCGTAAATTGACGTATAAAGGTCATTATGAATACCAATTTGTTGACACCATGCACATAAGGCAGGCTTTGCAGTATTTAAAGGTTGTAAATCGATTTTATCAAGATGTACAGTTCAATGAGGAGTGGTTTAATGCATTTTGTGTTGAAGACGATGAAGTGGTGGAAAAAGGTAGTGATCGTGTAGAAGTTGGTGAATCAGTTCAAAAAGATAGTGATGAGGTTGAAGGTGTTGATGCCACAGATGTCAACGATGAGCTGTTGCATGATAGACAGCAGCATTGCATGTTTCAGGATACGTGTCTCATGCCTGTTGACATCGGTCAGGAAGCACTGGATCAATATTTTGATGATATATTGAATTTGGCCCCAGCAGAAGGGAATAATCCCGTTAAATTACTTTCCGATCAGGACAATGAAGCAAAATGCTTCCCAGTGTTGTTTCCAAAAGGCTGCAATACGTATCATGAAAGGAGGCAGCATCGTCTGACATTGTCGCGTTATTTTAATAATNGCAGACCCCACCCAGACAGGCTAAGTGTTCACCATCCCAACGGATCGTTGTCACAGGAGAGGTCATCAAACGGGATCCCCCAGCCAATCCGTTTGAGTGGAGCACTGTCCGGCGTGGCCGGAAGGTAAGATAGTTTCATGCATTTATGTGATGCCGAGTGTTAGTCATGAGGAGTTTGTGTAAAAGAATGTTGTGCAGTTATTGCTGTGGGGTGCCTATTTTTAAATACATTCTATCTCACTGTTTTACAGAAACGTCAGCCCGAGGAACAGCTGCAGGTTTGTTGTGATTGCGTGAAGATGCCATGTCAAAATGCAAAGACACATCATAATTGCTCAGTAAGTATTAAACTGGAGTACATAAAGTGAAAGCATTGTGTTGTTTCATGTTTACTTTATAGGCTAAGTCGGGGGGCTGTTCCATCACAGTCACTGGTGGCAGGTTTAGCGCCCTGTCACATCTGGTGGAAGACCCTACTCCACCAGCTGCGCACGTTTCAACCACAACAGCGGTTCCAAAAGTCAAAAAGGTATTGTATAGCACGTTGTAGCTGTGTTATGTATGAAAGTGAGTGATCCAAAAAAAGGCCATAAAGAACACTTGTGTGTTTGTGTATTTTAGGAACCACGTGCGTTCCACCGCCGTTCCTTGGCTGCCAGGAGGCGGATGGAGATCCAACGGACTGTGGACGTCGAACCTCAGCAGCCTGCCAGTGGCAGCCATGCACGTAAGTAGCCAAGTTGTACATGAATTACATTGTATATTATGAAGAGTTTTATTTTACATTTCTTGTGCCAGTCACATGTGTGACATGATATCATACGGACAGAAATTCATGCGGTATGATATGTAAAGGATGGATATTCAATATTTCTGTATTGTGTGTTTTTGTACCAGGCCGTGGTACCGGTTATCGCCACGCCGTGCGCCGTTGGCCAACTTCTCTCGTGACTGGACGAAGCCACAAGTTGGTCATTCCAGCCGAGGCGCCGGAGAAGAAGGTATTACAGTTGTAGAGCACTGGCACATAATAGCAAAATGCTGGTGTTATGATTTGCATTCTGACAAATGTTGTTGTTACAGTTTGTTCTTCTCGTCGGCGACTCCCATCTGCGGAGCATTGCAGATGGCATTGTTGCAATGCCAGAGGGCAAGCTGTCCTTTGGCGTGATGTCAACACCGGGGGCCGCTGCTGCCGAGTTACAGGCAGAATTCAAGAAAGCTGTGCTGCCAAGGAAACCACACGCTGTCCTTGTGCAGGCCCCCAGCAACAACCTGACTGCGAGTAGGACCATCCACGAGGCGGCCGCTGACTTCGGCAAATTTCTGGCAACTGTCTGCAGCCAGCATGCCAATGTAAGCATAGTTTAAAACTTTGCGGTTGTGAATGTGTTTGCACTATACACATTTATTTGCAAGATATGATTTCTGTAGAATAATATATATGATTGATGTGGGAAGTGTTTGAACGATAATGCGCAAGAATGATGTTTTGCAGGTGGTTGTGACAGATTTTCCTCCACGCCTCAACGTCAACTTGAACTTGCAGCAACATCTTCGCCAGGAGTACTGTCGCGTTGCTGCAAGCATGGGTATGTACAATAGTAGTAGATATAGACATACACACAGCTGTGTAGAGACTTCTGTAAGTGTAGGCAAAGATATTGACTAGTAATCGCTATGGCATGAAAAAGATTGTTTACTTGAGCAAACATACAGTCGAAGATGTACATGTCTGTATTTCATAATGGCTTGTTTGTGCTTTGAAGGTGTCAAGTACTACCCCGTTACCGAGTACTTCCCCATGAACAATTTGGAGTTGTGGTGCAGGGATGGTGTAAGTATAACATGATGTTTCATTGTGGCGAATGGGGAATTGTACATTGCAAAGCACAATGACAAGAAAATGAAGTTAATTATATGTGTTGCTGTTCATTTCTGCAGGTACACCTGTCGGACACTGTGGGGATGCCTGTCCTGGCACAGTTGATGTGGAAGGCTTCTTACATGGTGAGTCTGGAGCACTGGTTAAATGTCAGAGTTGTGACTTGGTTGTGTGTGTTTGTATTGTGTAGTTTATCATGCATATATGTGTTTTTGGTACATGCACTGTGTATGTGTATATGTATGATATGAACAAAGCACGCTGCAATTGTGCTGTGTGGATGTGATGAAGAAAAAATATCTATCACTATTTTGTGCAGGTTCTTGAGCTACCAGCACCACCCAAACTGCAGAGCCCACCCAGGCAGGCACAGTGTCCACCATCCCAAAGGATTGTAGTCACAAGAGAGGTCATCAAACGGGTTCCCCCAGCCAATCCGTTTGAGTGGAGCACTGTCCGGCGTGGCCAGAAGGTAAGATAGTTTCATGCATTTATGTGATGCCGAGTGTTAGTCATGAGGAGTTTGTGTAGAAGAATGTTGTGCAGTTATTGTTATGGGGAGAAATGGCGATTTTGTGGTGAACAGTATAAAACTGCAAAAGAGTACAAACATGTGTTGAGTGTTTATCAAATGTGTTTGTAGGTGGAGGCAGTTACAACTGTTGCCCAGGTGTGCCCCCGGACGTCCCGAACTCGTACAGCGAGCGCGACGGCAACCCAGGAGGTTGGTGCATCCATTCATTCTATGGTGGTTTTGAAATTTGGCATGGGGAGGTGTGTCACTGTAATGGGGGTGATAGATCGAATGTCAGTGTGTATGTTCTGTGTTACGCAATGTCTGTGTACCTACATGACTTATGCATTCGTTGTAATGATTGTTTTTGTAGGCGGAGGCGGTTCCACTTGGTGACCAGGTGTGTTCCCGTGCGTCACCTCGCCATGATGCCATGGAGTCGTCCGTGACACCAGAGGTGTGTAAAGTTTGATGCCAATTTATTTGTAATGCAGTACATGTTTAAGTATGAACCTAATGTGAATATGATCATTATTATCAATTACATTCCTTGTCTGTTATGAATTTTGCGTATGTGTGTAGTTACACGTGTTTGATGTGCAGTTGATTGAATGCTTTGTTTTCCAGGCGGAGGCCGCTCCAGGTCGTCACTCCACGTCTGCTGTGCCACTGCCTGCCAGGTCTGAGGGGGAGGGAGGAACGCAGAGCGCCGTTGACGGGACCGGCAACCGTGAGTGGACCGCTTTTTGTGTACAGGAATTGCCGTCCGCTGTGGTTCCTCACAGGCATGTTGATGTTAGGTCTGTGAGGGGTTCGTTCCACCAGGCGGACGCACGTTTTGTGTACGGTGGTGTTCAGTGCATGGCTATAAGTTTAGCAGCCATGGCGAGACATACTATTGACAGTGTGTTCTCGTGGCGGCCTGACACCATCGATGAGGTTCTAGTTTTAGGTGACGGGTTGTACACAAGGATACGTGAGAGCGGTGTGCTTCCCGTTGGTACAGTTTATCTGTGTGTACCAGACTTGCCAAAAGAGTATGTTTTTGGTGGACACACATTTGAGTTTGAGTATGGGGACTTTGTAAGTGGTGACGTAGATGTTGTTGACGGAGAGTTGATTGAGGCAGGTGTGCTGACAAGTTTGAGGACTGGTTTGGAAACCATGTGTGCAGCGTATGACACATGTTTTTTGACCTTGCAGGGCAGTACGTGTGCCATTATTAGGCAGGATGGGCGTTACGCCATTTTTGACTCTCACGCCCGAAGTGCGGAGGGTATGATAGATGAGTTTGGCTCAAGTGTTGTCTTGTATTTTGGTAGCCTTGAAGAGGTGTATCAGCACATCTGCACATTGGCTAGTGGACTCCGGCAAATGCAGAAGGAATTTGAGATTGCGGGTGTTTGTGTCGTGTGTGTTCGTAGTGAGAAGCGTACTGTTTTGGCAAGTGAAGGTNTTTCCTTTGAAACTTGCCTGGGCTTGTACAGTCCATAAGGTGCAAGGCATTACCGTTGATTGTGCCGTGGTGTGTCTGAAAAGAATTTTTGCAGCAGGACAGGCGTATGTGGCTTTAAGCCGGGTTAGAAGTTTGTCTGGCTTGATCATTCAAGATTTTGAGGACAAACGCATATATTGCAAGGATGATGTGAAGGACGCCCTTCAGCGTATGCCACCATTTGTGAATGAGGGCAGAAGCCAGGAAATAAGTGCAGCGTGTTTTGGTGTGTTTTTGATGAATGTGCAGAATCTGACTGCACATGTGAGGGATTTGGCATTGTGCACACGGCATTTGCAGCTCAAGTGCATTGCTGTGACAGAAACTTGGCTGGCTTCTGACTCATCATTGGATACGATTCGCATCGACGGTTACAGTTTCCTCAACAGTCCTCGATGTGTATCGTACTGCAGCAAGCACCCTGCACTCGTTGCATTGCAGGGCCAACAACATGGTGGGGTAGGTATTTACTCTGCAGACAATGTGGCATGTAATGTCATCCCAGCGGCACAGATCAATTTGGAATGCGCCATCTGTAACTATGTTAGTTACGACATTCTGGTAGCGGTCGTTTATCGATCACCATCCTATCCCATGTCTTTGTTTAAAGAGCATCTTGGCAAGTTACTGGATTGGTTAGCTCCACAAAGTAACACAATTGTCATCATGGGAGATTTTAATGATGACCTTTTGAAGTCATCATCAATCTGCTCATTTGTAGCGGATAAAGGGTATGTTCAAGTTGTGGCAGAACCCACAACAGAGAGTGGCACACTAATTGACCACGTGTATGTGAAAACATCACGGTATGAAGTGGAGTCAATTGTGTGGCCAATGTATTTTAGCGACCATGAAGGCATTGTTTGCATTTTTAAATGAAAGACATGGGACATTGGACCTTTTCAGTGCTGTAGTGTGTAGACCAGTGTACAAAGTTAATGATAGGGAAAAGGTTTGTTTAGTAACATTTCACTTTCAGATGTTGTTGTGTGTTGTAGACTTTGTAACAAGTTTTATTTCCAGAGGCCATCAAGATTTTGTTGTATTGTAACATTTTGTATCGAATGAATCATTGTAAAAAGGTTTGTTGTGTAGGTTTCGTTTCCTGTATTACAACAGCATTTACAAGTGTTAAAGTAAAAAGATGATAGCAATAATTGACCAGAGGCGTCGTATGTAATGACCCTAAAATTTAGGCAAATGCCTTTTTAACATATGTCCTAGAGCAGCGGTTCTCAAACTGGGGGTCAGGACCCCCATTGGGGTCCCAAGATAATTTCAGGGAGTCAGCAGATCAATGGAAAAAAGTTAAAGCAATAAAAATAATGCCTACATGTATTAAATAAATGTGTATTAGGCCTGTCAAAATGAAGTGTATACTTCTTCCCAGTCTTTTGTCAGACTTGTTAATTAATATTAGGATTTGATTATGCAATATTATTGTTTTTTTTGCTGTTTTTAAAATTATTGTCTTTTATTTTGATATTTTTTCCCCTTTCATTTATTCAAAGTAAATTCAATTAGAATTCAATTCAAATTGAATGAATGAATATTCATTCATTTACAAGAAAGTTCATGTGTGTAATGTGTAGTGCAAAGAGATGAATGTGTGGAATCAACACATTAGGCTTTAATGCATTTATCCAGGAACAACAAAGTTATTACTCATTCCATATTTAAAATTCAATGTGGGGTGTGAGAAAGACAAACATATGTTGTCTTGGGGTTGTGGCGCAAAAAGTTTGAGAACCTCTGTCGTACAGAGACATGTAGAATGTAAACTAAATTGTATGTCACATGTGAGTAATGCAATGTAAAATGTGACCACAATGTAAAAAGCAGTCACCTATATGCTGTTGTAATGCAGGTTTTGCTTTGCCTTCCATGTAGTGTCAAAAAGCAAAAGACACTGGTAATGGAACTCCTGGTTTACCAGGACGGGGTTCAATTCCCTGCGGTGTCGTGCTTGTTTTGGCGTAAACATGAAAGCTGCTGTAATTTGGTATCAACTACTTGGCACAAGTAACAGTGAATAGCTTTATAAGAGTAGCACAACATTCAAGTGACAGGATGCTGAGTATGTGACTGCATATAACATGTTGTGTCCTCTCTCCAGTTTGTGATAATATGAGTGACTGATAAATAATGTGGCTGGCAAATGTAGTGCATGAAGATAAAACGTACTTTTCAGGATAACTGATGGAAAGTTATGAGCACTTGCTTTTTCCATCAGGTGGTGCGTTTACCAAGGGTCGATACGACTGTGATGAAGGTGTGACTGTGCATGTGAAAAGTTTTAGCCAGATGGGACCATGTCAAGGCCATGTACAGTGCAATTAATGTTTCATGGTGACAACTAGGTGTGGGTGAAACGGCCTTCCGACGGAACTCTGTTGAATGCCGGACACACCGAAAATGGCCAAAATTGCACGGGCCGCCATTTCCACGCCGTCAAGACTTTTGCTGTGCGATTTGATAGCTTTTAATCACCACGTCGTGTAGTTTGTGCTGGCCAAATTTCAGGTGTGTACGACTTACCCCCTAGAAGGAGACAGATTTTGAAACCGGCCATAAATGGCCGGTTTTCAGCGGTAAGCCGCCATTTTGTTCAAAATGGCCGACTTCCTGTGGGGTTTAGGGCTTGGCGCCAATTGACTTTTTTGTGCGTCCCGAACTGCTACACACGCCCACCGAATCTTGTAGGTGTAAATGAAACACCCACCCGCCGGGACTCCGTTGAATGCCAAAAACACCCAAAAAATGGCCAAGATGGCCATTGATCAATATTGCACGGGCCGCCATTTCTAAACCAAAAGACTTTTGCGGAGCGTTTTGATAGCTTTTAATCACCACGTCATGTAGTTTGTGCTTGCCAAATTTCAGTTGTGTACGACTTACCCCCTAGGAGGAGATAGATTTTGAAAATGGCCAAAAAGGGGCAAAAATGAGCGAAAATCGCAACAATTTGACCTTTTTTTTTCAAAATGGTGGACTTCCTGTGGGGTTTAGGGCTTGGCGCCAATTTACTGTTTTGTGCGTCCCGACCTGCTACACACGCCCACCGAATCTTGTAGGTGTAGATGAAACGGCCTTCCGACTGCACCCCGTTGAATGTTGAAAACCCCCAAAAAGTGGTCAAAATGGCCATTGATGCAAATTGCACGGGCCGCCATTTCTAAACCAAAAGACTTTTGCGGAGCGTTTTGATAACTTTTCATCACCATGTCGTGTAGCTTGTGCTGGCCAAATTTCAGGTGTGTACAACTTACCCCCTAGGTAGAGATAGATTTTGAAAATGGCCAAAAATGGCAAAAAATGAGGCAAAATTGCAAAATTCTGACCTTTTTTTTTTCAAAATGGCCGACTTCCTGTGGGGTTTAGGGCTTGGCGCCAATTGACTTTTTTGTGCGTCCCGACCTGCTACATATCCCCACCGAATCTTGTTGGTGTAGATGTAACGCCCGCCTGCCGGGACTCCGTTGAATGCCAAAAACACCCAAAAAATGGCCAAAATGGCCTTTGATCAATATTGCCCGGGCCGCCATTTCTAAACGAAAAGAGTTTTGCGGAGCGTTTTGATAACTTTTAATCACCACGTCGTCTAGTTTGTGCTTGCCAAATTTCAGGTGTATACGACTTACCCCCTAGGAGGAGATAGATTTTGAAATCGGCCATAAATGGCCGATTTTCAGCCAAAATGGCCATTGATCAAAATTGGACGGGCCGCCATTTCCAAACCGGGCCTCATCTGCGGAGCGTTTTGATAACTTTTAATCATCACGTCGTGTAGTATGTGCTGGCCAAATTTCAGGTGTGTACGACTTGCCCCGTAGAGGGGGTAAATTTTGAAAATCGGCCATAAATGGCCGATTTTCATCAGCGAGCCTCCATTTTTTTCAAAATGGCCGACTTCCTGTTGCGTTTCGGGCATGGGTTCTTGAGGCTTTTTTGTGCGTCTCGAGTTGTTACATGTGTGTACCGAATTTCGTGGTTCTACGTGAAAGTGTGTTCGGGGGCCCATTTTT